TTGGCTTGGCTTGGGTTGGGTTGGGTGTGTGTAACCGCATTCTTATATAGGTCACGGGCTCTTTAAGTTTGTTTACCGCAACGTCAGGGCCCAGAGCTGGAGTGTTATTATTGAAACTTGGTCATTGAGTCGCGACTGGTTGCACAATGCGGCGCCTCTCCACTCATTCACCCGCCCCCGTCCTCGCTCTCTCCCTATCTCGCCTTGGTCAGTGCATGTGCCCCATAAACAAAGTTCCAGATGAATTGTGTTTACACACAACTCGTGCTCAACTTTTATATAAATGCAAAGCAGGCTCCTCTCGTGGGTTGGCCCAGGGAGTATAAATGGGTTTGCGTGGGGCAGGACAAGGGTTGCAAGCCCTACATGTGCCACAATCACACACGCACATACACACACAGTTTATTGTTATACAATATATGTGACTTATGTGGCTTTGAGGAAAACATTTTCATAGTTTTTCCAAGCAATTCTTGAAAAAGTCTTAAAATAATATTTAAAAAAATAAAATAAAATAAAATAGAACAAAATTAAACAAAGTTAATTGAATACAACTTTGTTTATGCCAGGAGAAAGGAAAAGAGAGAGAGAGAGAGAGAGAGAGAGAGAGGGAGAGAGCGCGTTATAATTTTGAAGGAATTGCAATTTGTGAACTTTTAAAGTATTTATATCTCGTATATGTTAAGAAACTATCTAAATGAACTCGGTGTATCTGAAAGACATCTTGATGAAATTTGTTGCAGCTGCTTCTACTTCTTGCAGATGGTATATATACCGGAATCGACTAAGTTACTCCGCTATAAAATAATGCTATTCAGAGAAATTCGTCGAGAAAGAAATCTAGATCAAACTTGGCAAATGCTAGTTTTTATATTTCTTACACCCTTGTAAAGTGTATTATAATTTTGTCATATAATGTGTAACGCATAGAAGGAGATATCTTGGACTCCAAACAGTATATACATATATATTCTAGATCAGTATAAACAATTGAGTTGATATATCCATGTTCGTCTGTCCTTCTGTTTCAGTTTCTCTCAGTTTTTAAGCTATCGGCTTGCAATTTTGAATAGGTCCGTCTTTCCGTTGCAGGCAGCACATATATTGGAACCAGTCGGATCAGACTATTAAATCATAGGAACGTTCGGTCTAAAAGAAGGTTCCTGTATGGAAAACCTTTTTGTTTATCAAGACATCTTAAACAAGCTCGGCATTTATAAGTTTCATTCTGCTCCCTAGATGTATGCTAAATTTTGTCAACATCGGAGTACTATGTCATATAGGAAGTTTTCCAAGATATTTTCATCAAACTCTGCTTTTACGAGCTCCACTATTCTCTAATATCAGCAAGAGGCAAATGTTATTTTTGAATGAAATTAGTTGGAATCTCTTCAAAATTAAGTTGGTATAACAATTAATTAATACATTTTTTGAGTTTTCCAAGCATTTGGCTAAATACAAATATGATTCTTAGATCATTTAGCTGCTGCCTGAGCTGTCATTCAACAGGCCAAATGTTGGCTGATCGGCCACAAATGGCAGAGTATATTTAAGTGAAGAGCTGCTGATGTCTGCAGTATTTCACGCTGTGTCTTTCACTTTTGCTTCGCATAAATCTATTTGGTTTGCTTTTCAAGTTGGATTCGCATACGCAAGATGATTACAAATATCGTATATAGATCTGCTTTGGCCCGATTCTATAATGCCACTCATCGTTCGGACCGAACATTTGGCATTTGCCTGGCATCTTGCCTTGAATTATATATTATAGATACATTCACGCTCTCTCTCAAGTACGAAAATAGATGCCAAAAACATGAATCGAGGAAAAAAAAACAGCACTTGAACATTTATTACGAGTTCGCTGTGCCATTTTGACAGGCACCAAAGAGTTCAGCTACCCTACTTGAAACTGAGAATTAGGGTGGCATGGAAAATTCACAAAAAATGTATTCGCTTTTGAATAATTTTAAATACCCTTGCAGGCAAATTGTGGCTAAAGAATTTAGCGAAAAGTTCAGTTTTTGACCGAATTTTGATTTGATTTGGAGATACTTTTATTTATTGGTAGAGATAAATAGAGGGATTGCTAGATGAGATACTTTAATGTGTTAGAGGAAAAGAAAGAAAAAATCGGAATTTGTCGAAAGTATTTAATGCTGGTTATAACGACCTTTTCATTTTATAAATAGTTATAAAATTAATTTAGTACTTTTTCTTAAAAGTATTTATAGTAACAACCTGAATATCCTTTGCAGGGATACACTTTCTTTTTAATTTTAGCTTCTTTATTTATATTTTTTTCTATTTATCTTCCAGTTCTCAATTATTCCTATTAATTATATATAGTATATGCTGTACAAATTCAGTCGAACCTTCCAAATGCCAAAGTCTGCACAGGCTTCTAGCTAACACAATAGTTCATTCATATAAAAGTCTTGGATTTGAACCAGCCACTTCTCTCCTTAACAATTCAAGAGCCGTTTAATTCACAATAGTTATTGTTTCAGCTATTATTTATGCCAGCTATTTAGTTTTATGAATGACTTTCAAAACAATTATTTAAAGCATTTTGGAATTGAACTTTCAATAAAGCCTGACCTCTAATCGTAACCTTTTGAACTTGCCCCAGCTGCAGCTCCACGGGAGCTTTATGGCAATAGCCTAAACTGGAAAACGTAAAACTAATTGGATGCGACATTTTTTCACAGGCCTCAATTTACAATCGAATTTATGCAAATGTCCGGGGAAAATGGGAAAACTAGCAAATGAGAAATGACAATCGCATGGTTTGATTTAAACAACAAGGATCTAGGCGGGTTATAGAAAGATATATATACGCTACACAGCATATATATGTGTGTGTGTATATGATATTATATGGCAAGTACAGTGGGCTATCCATCATGTTGAACTAAGTAATTGTGCGAGTCATATGCAAGTTGCTAGAAGGAAATTTATCGATTACGCGCGGAGACAGGGGAAAGTTTTTATATCCAAGTGAGTGTTGTGTGTGTGTGTTGGTGTGTGTGTATGTGTGTGTGTTAGTGTGCGTCTGTAATTTAACATTGCTGAAGACATAAGAATGTTGACTGGCCTGTAATCGTAGTACACACGCCTTGATATTGGTAACACATGCGCCGCAGGCGCCCACCTTGGCAAGCTCTGTCTGGACAACTGAACGTAGGGGCAGCCGGGCGGGCGGGCGGGCGGGCGGACGGACGGACGGACGACGGACTGGTTGGCTGGCTGGCTGGCGTCATAGCCCGGCAATGGCGTCTGGGCCCAAATGCCCGGGGGGGCAGCGCCAGCGTGTGGTCATTGCCAAACATATTTCCTTGTACTTGAACGCAAATCATTTTCCTCGGGGGGCGCTTGGTAACAGCAACCGGTCGCTGTGTCTCACTAGCAAGGCTGCCAGACTAGCAGATACCCTGGACAAAGCTTCACATGCACACACAGAGGGATACGGAGAGTAGCTGGGTTTTTGGAGGGTGCAAGTCGAACACTTTTCGACTTGTTATGCTTTTCCCTTCTACACAAAAAGAACACACGAAAATTGTGCTTCAGCCTAACCTCAAAACTAAAATTAAGAAAAATTCATTCTTAAATAAATTTTCTAAAAAAATTATAAAAGCCCAAAGCTGCATTTAAATGAAACTCTGAAACTTTTTTGTTTAGTTTGATATGTGGAGGAAAATATATATGAAAAGTGAGGTTATGAAAGCCAAACGATAAATCAATTGACAAATTGTCCTTAAGAAATTGCAATTTATGCCGTGAAAGTCAGTAAATATCGAGTTTTATCAATTTAAGTAAAGAAAATAAAAAGAAGCCTCCCGCTGCTTGTTACAAAAATTGGCACAAGCACAGCATACCCCGTCTTTACGTCATTTTTGTTGTCTACAGAGTATACAATTTTGATACAAAGAAAAACTGAAATATCGAGCATGAAAAGTCGCTAGCCGACATTGATTATTTATTGATAGATTTTCGATTTTCACTTTACGCTTTTGTTTTTTTGCTTTTTGTGGCCTACTGTACCCGTCGTCGTCGTCGTCGATTCGTGCATTGTATTCGATATTCAATCAAACGATTAATTTGTTTTGGAAATTCGAGCCGAAAAGCCGCGAGCCGCGAGCCCGTAACCACTTTTGGGTCTGTCGACGTTGCGTTATTTATGCAACTGGCCGCCAATGGAACGGGGCTGGGTCCCATTCAAAGGGGGCCAAATGCTGGAATCTAGCTGACGCTCGTCAATGCCATTGGCATTGAAATGGTCGTAAACACACTCGCATAATACCCAACTATATACAAATACCTATATATATATATATATACCTATATATACTCAGTAGTTGCTGCTGTTTGTTTTAACTTCCTTTCTGTTTGTTGTTTCTATTGTTATTACTGCATTTGCTGCGGTTTCTATTGGCTTTCAATTTCCCCCCCATAATAACAACAAAAACAAAGGCAACAAAATGTGGCAAAACGAATTTGATGCAAGTGGCGAGATATTGATTATTAATTGCTTTAAATTGTTATCGATAATTTGGGTTTTCAATTAGTTTGATTAATTGTGCAAGGGGTAAATATTCTATGCATTATCCCAGAGAATTTGACGAATTTGAACCAGCGACTTCTCGCTAGTCAGTCCGACGCTCAGGAGGGCTCTAGCTGCTTGATTAATTGTGAAAGGGGTAAATATTCGATGCATTTTCCCAGAGAATTTGACGAATTTGAACCAGCAACTTCTCGCTAGTCAGTCCGACGCTCAGGCAGGCTCTTGCTGCTAACTGTTGCTGTTGTTGTTTTCGGCCCACTTGCTGATCTTAAAACCAAAACCTAGTCTTAAAGCTCACTTTCGACAAATTTCTGATTGGAATCAAATCTTTTATATATATATATGAATTGGCATACCCCATTATATATAATTAATAGTATTAACCTTATTAAATTGCCAGTATTTCAACAATTTCTTTTTTTTTGGTTTTTTCCAGGTCAACTTTTCTTGTTTTATGCCATATTCTATATCGTGCTTGGCATACTGTTCACCATTTGCATGCAGGTCATGCTCTCGACTGTGGATAATCATCAGCCCAAATGGAAGCTAGAGGAGTCTCTGATTGGCACCAATCCCGGATTGGGTTTCCGGCCGCTGAGCGAACAAACCGAACGCGGTTCGGTTATTGAATACGACAGAAAGAAGCCCGCCGAATATGAATACTGGGTTAGCTTGGTCGATGAATTCTTACAGGGTAAGTAGTAGAGGAGCTCTCTTTGGCAAGAAGGAATAACATTCTATTATGTATATACTAAATACCATATGCTACAGATTACAATCACACTGAGGGTCGCCAGATGAAGCACTGCGATTTCAAGCAAACGCACAACGACAACGATGTCTGCGTCGTTAATATTGATAACTTTGGACCCTGTACGGCGGCAAATGGATATGGCTATAAGACTGGCGAGCCCTGCATCTTTCTCAAGCTGAACAAAATATTTGGCTGGATGCCCGAATTCTATGAGACGGCCATCAATGGCATGCCCGCCTCTCTGCAGCAGGTCATCAACGCAACGAGTGCCGATGAGGTTTGTTACGCATTTAGCTCTTAATGATGATAATTTATTGGCCCGCGCAACGCCGCCTAATATCAGCTAGCATATATCTAAATGTACATCTATTTCGTTATATAGCGCCAACAAATCTGGGTCTCGTGCAACGGTCACTTGGGCAAGGATAAGGAGCACTTCCAGAACATCACCTATTATCCCAGACAGGGCTTTCCCTCCTATTACTATCCCTATCTGAATCAGCCCGGCTATTTGAGCCCGGTTGTTGCCGTCCAGTTCCACGCCCCGCCCAAGGGCTCCATGTTGGACGTGGAGTGCCGCGCCTGGGCCAAGAATATCATCTACAGCGGCAGCTTACGTGATCGCATGGGTTCGGTTACCTTCCAGATTTTGTTGGATTAAAATGCGTACGGTTTGTTAAGCTAGAAGAACTTGTGATTGCAACAACCTAAAATTCTTGTCCCGAGACCAACTACAACAACAACAACAACAACAAGGAGGAGAAGAAGAAGAAGAAGATTTAATTTTTAGAGCCTAGACGCCTTCAAGTCGTAAATGTATTGTATATATTTATATGAAGAGAAACGAAATATACCCGCGCCTCTATAACAAAATCAGCCCCGAAAAAAAAGAATTATAATATAAAAAAAAAAACAGAAAAATATACAAAAAAAAAACCGAAATTTTCACAAAAGTTCAAATCGTACACCCGTAATTGTTGTTATAAAATAGCTTCCGGCTTTTCTATTGCTATAAGTTAACAATTACAATAATATTAACATTATAATTTTATAGATTCTTGTAAAGCATATGGTTAATTTGTCAGTTGTATTTAGTTTGTATTTATGTAGTATGTTATTAATGCCATTTAATTTTTGTTCTCCAGTTCAAGTACTCCCTTATGCCAGCAGCATACTTTTTAATTTTTTTTTTAAGTTGTTACATTAAATTTCAGCAACATGCAAATTTGTAAAAATGCGAGAAAAAAAACCTCAACAAGCTACGTAAATAATGTATTTGTTATATAACAATTGCCACGCCTCTGTAAGGATGTGTAAAAAGTATTGAAAAGAAAAGAAAAACTATAAAACATATACATATATATCCTTTAGTGAAATTTTAGTCATAGCAGCAACAATAACATAAACAAATTCCAGGCATATTCTTGTTTTACATTTTTAAGCTTCTTTTTTTGAGATTTATATCGATGGAAAACTTTTAGTAAATTCTTTTTTGTTGCATTAATGAGTAAATAAAATTGAAAAACGAAACAAAACCCAGTACTTTAATTTATATAGCAAAGTAAAATTATATATAAAGTGTGTGCTCACATTTAAAGTTTAAAAATGGCGCCTAAACAATTGATAATTGCCATACAGCACAAGAATTAACTTTTCGGACGGTGTGGCAACGCTGCCGACATGCCCGGCGCTGCCAACTTGTCTGGCACACAGCTGTGCACACATCACAATTGCGCTGACAGCTAGTCGATATATCGGGCAAAAAATTCATCGGAATTTTTCAGCTTTCTGCTGTTTACGCTATAAAAATTGCAATAAAATACAGAAATTCCTATTGAAAACAAAGCGCTTGACGAATTGAGAGCTGTTAATATAAAAAAGAGCAGGCAGTGGTGTTGCGCCCAGCTGCATTGAATATGGCACACACGATAAACGTGGGCTCCGTCAAGGAGGAGCACTGTGAGTCAACTTGCAATATGTTTAAAACGCAGGATTGGCCGCTGACGATGCGACACAGGGACCTGGGTCTGGTTAAGATCGAGCAGGACATGAGCTTTGTGTGGCAAAGCAGCCCCAGTGTCACACTGGACGGCAAGGACCGACAACCAGAGAAGCAGGCCCAGAAAAAGTACGTCCGTCATGTTCATAATACTCGAATCCATAATTATGCTGTTATGCTCTTGTGCTCTATAGATTCCAGCACGGATCAGCCAGCGAGAAGCCTTTCAAGTGCGCACACTGCCCCAAGGACTTTGCCACCAGCAGCAATCTCAAGGTGCATCTGACGCGCACCCACTCCGGAGATCGCGAGCGCCCGTTTTTGTGCCCCAACTGCCCGAAGTCGTTTGCGACCAATGATAATCTGCAGAAGCACATACGGAGGCATTCGAGCGAGCGCAACCTCAACTGTCCACACTGCCCCAAGGCCTTCGCCACAAAGGATAATCTGCAGAAGCACATACGCCGCCACTCGAGCGAGCGCAACCTCATCTGTCCGCATTGTCCCAAGGCATTTGCGACCAACGACAATCTGCAGAAGCACATACGCCGGCACTCGAGCGAGCGCACCTTAAATTGTCCACACTGCCCGAAGGCGTTTGCCACCAATGATAATCTGCAGCGGCATATACGCGGTCATACGGGTGAGCGACCCTTCAAGTGTCCCTATTGCCCGAAACCCTTTGCCCAAAACAGAGATCTCAAAGCGCACATCCTAGAGCATACGGGCGAGAAGCCCTTCAAGTGTCCATTCTGCCCGAAGGAGTGCGTCCGCAGCGAGGGCCTAAAGAAACACATAATGCGCCTGCACAAGGACAAGGACATCGAACCCGAGCAACTACTGATGGCGATCAAGCCGTGAGTAGACCTCTCTCTCTCTCTGAGAAATCCGAGCACACTATTTAAAAATCTCTTTTTGTTTGTGTCCACAGATGGCCAACGGGCGACCCAAACAACACGATCTATGTAAAAATACGATCCTACCAAATAAAAGTTAACCCAGGAAATTGAGCTCAGGCACACACAGAGACACAGACGGAAAGCGGAAAACCTTGCAGTTCGAGCAGCTAGAAAAATAGAAGGGATTGGAAACCTATTTGCAAGCGCAAGCACGCGTTCGATTTTGAAAACTTGGCGAAATGGCAAAATTGATATAAAACTAAACATTTATGTAGCTTTTATAGCCCGCGAGATCTAAGGCTTTCCCACGACCATATCAAAGAATTATGTTTTGATATGCTTTGCATGGGACACTAAACGATATTCAATTCATTTGTTGTATAAATTTATATATATACACAAATATATATATATTATGGGCTAATGCAATCGATTTGATGCAAAAAATAAAACGCATTTTAATGCTAAATATAGAAAACACAATAAATAGAAATAAATAAATTGCGAATGTAAAGAAAAAATGAATATTGCTGAATAACCTGGTTCAACAAATTTTTCGACAACATATTTGAAGATTTCGAAATTAATTATTTCTATATATTCATAATTTTGATCAGAAATTTAAAGATCTAACAAATTAAACTTCCGCCAAGCAATTTGTCAATTAAAACGAGAATTGGAAAAACTGGCTCCACAAAATGTTTGCGTTTTATAGTTAATACCATATTTAAAACAGCTTAAGAAATTTTACATTTAGTTTTAGATTAGTACAAATTAGTTTTGTGTACCATTGTTAAACTTTATTAGTAGGTTTTTTATTAAATGTGAGTTATTGTACCTATATTACAGATATTACAGAATATTTGTTTAGTTCATTATTTATTTATCCTTGTGAATTCTGGGATATTTATGTTATTTTTTTATTTGCTAAACTTAGTTGTTTTTTTTTCTTTTGATATAGTATAAAGTAATCACAAAATATTATTATCACAATTTGCGGATATTTGCTACCTTTTTAATATATATTTTAACATACAAATCTCGTGTGTATATTTTTTATTATTCATTCCTTTTTCAAATATAGTCAACAATGCGAGTTAAAATTTTAACTACATCAAGATTAGTTTAAGTTTTTAGTTTTCTTTAAAGTCAAAAGGTTTAGCTTTAGCTGAGACGAAATTTGAAACATTTAGTTGATAATTTTTTTTTTCTGGGAGGCATTAAACAAGTTGGGATTTCGTTATGGTAGAAAATTGAAAGCGCACACTCTTAAGTTTGACGAGCACCCCACAGTTCCGTCTCATGATACATTCGATAAATATTGTCCCTGATTAGTTTGGCTTTGTCTGTAATATCATTATAGGAATGTTAGATGTTAGTAAGGGATTAGTTGGGATTAGATGCGTGCTAGATAATTAAATTTACATTTTTGAACTAGACTACATATAAGCTATAGAGAAGTCTGGCGATAGCTGCTCAGCATATTTTATAATTCTTTAACTTAACTTAACTTAACTTATCATGATTTCCTGACGGAAATCATAGATAGATTCATAATGTATAACATGATTACCTAAATAGTTTAAAAGTTAGTTTATGTCGGAGCTAATATCATTTAATCAATCCGAACTGGAGAAAACTTTATGGAACACACTTTCTTTAAGGTATCTTTGCATATCTTAGAATACCACCTTTGTGCGCAGAGGGAATCGGACAAGAAACAACCGAGTTACTTCAGAAAGTACATTGCTCTTAAGCCTATAAACGATATAAAGCAAACTTTCTAAACGATGCTAGCAATAGAAACTATCTTCGGCACTCTCAAAATTACTTTTGAAATCAAATAGATGATATATAGATATATACAAAAGAGGGATAATATATATCTGTTGCACTCACCCTTGGATAGATTGAGGGCCACAACATGTTTCTTGAAAAATTCCAGACACAATTCCTGGCTAGTGCCCAGCGAGTGCATGTTGCACGTGAAGGCACTGAAAATATAGAACAGATTATTCAGTAATTCGTTTGGACTACTCTAAAGACGTTGAGCTAACAACCTCAATTGCCGAAATGCAATATCATCCAGCTCCTTGGCCGATTGCGGCTGGCCCAAGCTGCATTTGCTGGACTTGCGTTTGGCTGTCGCTAAGGTCGCGGGCGGCGCGCTGCCCTGGTGCGAGGAGCTTGAGGAGGAATCAACGCTGTTTTTGCGAGCATCGGGCACCACTGGCTCCGGAGCTGTTGTTGCTGCAGCTGCAGCTGCTCCGGCTGCAAGGCGCTGCTGCTGCTTTGCCTGACGCCGCTGCTGGCGGCGCAGCTGAGAGCTGAGCCAATGTTCACGCTCAGCCTGCATGGCATCCTGGAAGATGGCGTTCCAGAAGCGCGGCTGCTGCCACAGCGGCTGCTGGCGCAGCGATACGAACAGATACTCGCGATAAGGATCGCAGCCAGGAACTTCAACTGCAATGGGTAGCAATAGTTTAATATAATTATGCGTGCCGTACTCCCTCAACTCACCTTCATGATAGAACAAGAAACAGAGATTCATGAGCACCGCCGCTGGCGCATGATCCTCGCACTCGCCGCATTCGAACAGCGCCAGGGCAAAGTATTGGGCGAGTGCATTAAATGTTAAGGTTTCCAGGCGCTTCGACTTGTTGCGCTGCTCGCTGAGAAATCTGGTGAACCACAGGCGGCCCATCTCCAGGCGCAGCAGCACGCCAAGCTCGGACTTGAGCTCCAGATTGACGGCTGCCGAATTGCTGAAGAGCAGCTGGGTGAAGTGCTTCATGAACTCCTTGACGGGCTCCTCGCCGGCACGACAATCCAAGCTTATGGAGGATGCCCATGAGGGCACCGAATTTTGCGATTCGGAGCGTATAAAGTTGCGCCAATCGCTTGACTCCATGCTGGGGCTGGCCTGCAGCTGATCGGGCTCATCCCGCAGGCTGGTCAACGTGCTGTTGTTCGAGGCGCGACTGCGTGCGGGCACAGTTCTCATCGAGCTGATTGCGCCCCAGGGTTGGCGCGTCATTAAGCTGCCGCCGCCGCCGCCTTCTGTGGGCGGCTGCACATCAATTAGTGGAGGCATGGCCGTGGCCTCAAGCAGCTCACTAATGCGCTGCATATCCTTTTGCATGTCCAGCTCGCTGCGTCGAGCGCCCGCAATGGCTCGGGGCCGCTCATAGCCACCCGAGTGGCGCGACTCAAACTCCAGGGAATTCGAGTGCGTGGTGCTGCTCACATCGTGCGAACGTGCGGCCGCCGTTTGCTCCGGCAGCGACGCGGAGCTGCTGTCGTCGCTGCTGCTGCCGCCGCCGCTGCTGGACGAGGACGGCGAACTGGAGCGCAGAGGGCCGCCCAGCTTGTTGGAGTGACGCGCGCGCGAGAACTCCAAGCGTGGACCTAAAAGTTAGTTAAAGATTGGACCAACATATATGTAAATGACAGAATGTGCTACTCACGCGGCGCCAAATTGGGCTGTCTGAAGCGACCCGAGATGATCTCCTCGTGCGCACGACGCGCCTTCACGCGACGCGCCTCAAAATCGATTTTCGTATAGTCAATAGACTCATCATCTGGAAAGGGCAAGTGGGAGAGTTCAGATAAGATAATGCGGCTCAATATATTTGTGCAGCTTCTAGAATTTACTTACACTTGGGCAAATCCTCGTCATCGTCGTCGCAATAATCTGAATCGCTGCTGCTGCTGCTCAGCGTTAACTGTTAATGCAAAAAAAAAAAAAATGCAGTTATTAAACGATGTTGCCACCCTTCACAGAATCTATGCATTTGTATGGCAGCACTTTAACGTGCTCGACTGATGGATATGCTGCAATCTGGTCTGAAGAGGAAGACCAGAGTAAGAAAGAGAGGGTGAGGGAGAAAGTAGGAATGAGAATAAAAGATAGAGGGAGAGGGAGAGAGGCACAGGTAGAGTGGAAGAGAGAAGGCAAAGTGGAACAGAAAAAGAGTTAGGTTGAGTCTGGTCGAGAAGAAAGCAGAGAGAGTGGCAGAGGGAAATATAGTTAGCGGGATTCAGACAGCCAGAAAGAATTAAAACAGAGAGTGAGAGATGGAACTTGTGAGAGAGAACTTGCAAGACAGAAAAAGAACGAGTTAGAGGGAATCTTGTCTATTTTACAAATACATGTATACATGTACATATATACCACAAAAGCTAATAAGGTGGTCATTTATTGATTCCGTGAGAAGCGCATAAAGGGCGATCTTCATTTTCAAAAACAAAGTGCTTGTCGCATAAGCAAATGATATCTATTGATAAAAAAAAGGCAGCACTCAACAATAGGCCTTAAAACAAAAGAAACTTTTACTCAGCAATCTCTTTGGTTGTGACCTTGGATAAGCGATGCAGTTGGCAAGTATCAAGGGAGTCAACTAAATTGATTGCTTTTGCTTTTGCAGCAGCACTCAAGGCGCTCAACGCGTATACATACATGGAGTGACAGAGACAGAGCGAGCAACATAATCCATAATTAAGAGCTCGACAAACAAAAGGAGATGGCAACTTTGCGCCATTTACCGTTGCGACACGTTTTACTCGTTTTAACTGAGGCGTGAAGCACTCGACAGCCACTCATATAATTAATTTCAATTCAAGGACGAGTCGAGAGACGAGCATCAATTGTGCTGCAGCCAGTGCTGCAAAGCGCCGTCAGACAAGAGTCAAGTACAATGGCAACAGCTGCGGGCCTGCCCAGCCCCCCAGCAGCAGCAGCGGCAGCATCAGCTACCACAACAATAATATCGGGGCCAAGTGAAGGTCAAACGAGTGCAGCTGCAGCAGCAGCAGCAGCAAAAGTAAAAAAAATAAAGCTATTTTGCAGCACAGACAACGGCTGCAGCCCGTTCATTATCAAGGCCTTACCTTATTTGATATGCCATTGAACAGCTCATTGCTGTTGCCCAACACTGTCAAAAATTTGGACTTTAGCGCACCGATGCTCGGCGTCCGTTCCATAAATAATTTAATTTTCGATCTCTCGCCGGCAAATGCAGCCGGCGGTGTGCCCGGCGTGGGCGTCCGTGTGGGCGGTGGCTTTGCGTCGACCATTGTTGCCACGTGTAGCTAGTTGCTTTGCTTCAATAGTTTAACCTTTTGTTGTAGCTGTTGTTGCTGTTGTTGCTGTTGTTGCTGTTCTTCCTGTTGTTGCTGTTGTTATTGTTGTTGCTTTGGCTATTTTTAGCAGTCATTTAATAAGCGTTTTCGTCTGCTGACGCTGACCGTTGACGTCGACGTCGACGTCGACTGCTGCGATGACTGCTGCGACGACTGCTGCTGCTACGGCTTCAAGTATCGATTTTTCGTATATATGTACATAAGTAGCACAGCAGCAATGCGCCTCAAGCAGCTGCTTTATTCTTCTTCTGCCTTGCGCTTAGCTATTTTTTTTTTATCAAGACTTGTGCCGTCATAAATTGTTTTCTTTTAATCTTGCTGAGACAGGAAACAATCTTTGTAGTTGGGTTTGGTTATGTGCAGCAAATTATGCACACTTTTATTTAAGTTTTATTAGTTCACGTATATTATAAATGTTTCATTATTGAGGCACCTACAAATATGGGAATTATTAGTACTCATAATTTTATCATAATTGTTATTATTATTTTTGTTGTTGTTATAATTAATTTTTTTTATGCGTATATCTAGTTTTTTCTTTAGAGCTTTTTAAGTTTTGTATATTTGCATAAATTGTTTTTATAAAATTTAATTTAATTTTTGTGTGTCATGTTATGATTTATATTAAAATGTATTATTTGTTTATTATATTCCTGTTTTATAATTACGCTTATTATGTGTTTATCTCGACCGTTTATTATCTTATATTTTATATTATTACAATTTATTATATTTACATTAAATTTATTTCATTTGTAATTTATTAATAGCTAAAGTAAGTTTATTGTCTTTATATTGATCTGAAATATTAAAATGTTTTCTTAAGAGTTTTGAAGCATTTGCATTTAATTAATATTTAAATATATATCTCATAATTTTGCATGGTTACATGCTTTAAATACATGTGTTAAATACTTTATATTTGCCAAGGCTTGTCTTACAGCATTTTCATTTCCATTTCCATTTACATTTATGTATAACATGTTACTCCATAGAAACGCACTTAGTATATTACACTGAATTGTGCTTTGAATTTTGTATTGTCTACGAGCATTACGCAAATGAAATTATGCGCACGGGACACAATTAAAGGCACAATTTGACGCACTATATATATGTATTTGTGTAGATTATACTGCTTTAATATTGCACAAGGAGCACATTTAACTTCTATTTTCCTCTTTCAGCCCAAGGGGCGGGTGAGAGCGCAGGGTGGCGTTAAAAAAATCGTTGAATTTTCCGCATAAACACACGAGTTTCACTTGCGTTTCCTGCAACGCGCGCTGCGCAAATGCAGCCGAAAATGTAGTTTTTAGCTTTAAGAATCCGCCGCGTGTGCCAGCGTAATTTCTCGCATGCGATAGAAAACGGTAAAAGCTTCTGCAAAGCTTTTCCGTTAGTCGCAACAATAACAATAACAACAGCCGGCATTTTGTTTGTTTACGAACAGCTGAGCGAGCCGAATGTGGCGACGCGACGCTAGACTTCGGCTCGGCAGCCAAACAGCTGAGAAACGTTGCGCCCAGGCATCGATTTAAGGCGCACCAAGCGTTGACGTCGGTCTCGACGTCGACGTCAACGGCGGGCAAGGTCGCGTCACGAGTCAATGTGGTTTGCTGCGAAGCAGCAGCAAAGACATAACGGCGTGGGCGGAGCGCAGGCTTATCAAAAATGCGTGTCTGCAATTTTATTGGGCTTCGCCTTCACCCTCGTCTTCGAAGCCGACGTTGATTCCGACGTCGACTTTGGCTTTGACTCTTTGACAAATCCGTTTTGCATGTCATTTACTGCTAGCTCAATTTGCACTTATTACCGCGCACACACACACACACACTTATACGAATATGTAACAGTGTGTGTATACGTAATTTTCATTGGCATTACGCATACCACATGTTGCGCCCATGACTGGACTTTATCGTGCAGCAAATTAACAGCCTGCCACGAGGCGCTAATAATAATGACCATAATTCGCCACAGCAGTGGCTAATTCGCATTTATAAATAAATATTTCTTGTATTTATTTATGCACACAAACAACTGTTAATTGTTTTTTGATTTGTAAGCACGCTGACGGCAGGTGGCGCTTTTGAAGCGTGCGTGGATATGATTCATAAATGTATATAAAGGGTTTAATAAATCTGTTAAGAGTATATTTTTAACAGGTATTGAATTTAATGTGTTTTGTATTGTTTATAAATATTTAAATTATTTGTTTAGGTACTTCTATATAAGAAATGTTGATAAAAAAATTGTTTTAAAGGTGTACAAAAAAGTTTATCTTATTTCGCGCCTACAAATAGAATAGATATGTTATATTCAAAAGAAATATTCCAATCTTATTACTAGATATACTCAACTCGATATACTCAACAATACCTTCAGGGGTTTAGAGGAACATATTACTGATATTCAAGCATTTCATTCAACTTTTCGTATAAATTGAATATATTTTTGTTTTTTAATTTTCAATTAATTTTAAACAAAAATTAATTGCAATTTTGTTAAATTTTTTATGAGTAACAGCAGGAGATGGCATATATCAAAACCCAAGATCTAATAAATTAATTGGCATATGTAGAGATTATATAAATTATTAATGGAAATTATTTATATTTTTTAGAATTAAAATTATGAATATAAATTATTAATATTTTATAGATTAAGAATTATCAATAAAAATTATTTATATTTTATAGAATAGAGATTCTTATTACAATGTATAAATATTCTAAAGAATTTAAATTATTAATATTATAAAGATTATATTATTATTTATATATATATAACAAATTTATAACTAGTAGAATCGCTCAGAAAAAAAATCAAAAAAAATGTATATATCTGTATTTAAATAAAGTAACCTATTAATAATTTATGTATCTATTTGCAATAGAAAAGAAACTTGTTTTAATAAAAATAAGCTATATTTTGATACAATATGTAATTAAGATAGTAATGAGCGCAGCCTCTTAACTCGAAGAGTACAGGGTATACTAGCCAAAAAAAAAGATAAATAAAATAATAATAAAACAAAATCTGCAAATATAATATCAAAAGCTCTTGAGCCCTCTACACTAGAGAAACGAGAAACTTATCGAAGAACCTCCAGATTAATAATCTAGATTAGAACTGACTTCGGCCTATAGAAATTGATATTCGATCTTTTTTCAGATTTTCTGTGGGAAACTAACTTAACAGCAACGTACAATTGTTCTCGTCTAATCTAAGTCGTAAAGTGTGAGTAGGGGATATGTCACTATATATTACTGCTTTAAATATTAACTTTTGATGGTTTCAAAATAATACAAAAAATGCTTGTCATAATATAAAATGTGTAAAATCTTTCACGATCAACAATTTAAGGTTCTATACCAGCGGAAGTAGAAAATAACTTAGAGATTCTATATTGATTTATTGAGGCAAGAATTGCAGTCAGGATTATATTCAGAGAAATCCTCGTGCTCCATTCTATTTTACTCTCAATTTTAATTGGTTAATCAATTTATGATGATTAGAACATTAAAGCTTTATAACAATCTCCTAACCGAAGTGCATTTTGATTTTTCTGCCAATAGTACCTTGATTAAACATAAGCTTAAAAAATTCTTTCCTTAGATCTAATAAATTTACAATTTATTGTTATAATTACTGCAAAGTAAAATATTATTTGTAATATAAGATAACCTGAAAGCTACCAGCATTGGTTCATTAATAAATAAATCTTTTTAATGAAAATGTTTAACCCGAAATTCGTTAACATTAATTACACTACAATTTCATTAATATTAATTATTTTACTATTAAATATTTATATATTTATGAAGCTATTATAAATGCGGTTTTATAATATTAAAAATAAATATATACTTTATACTTTTATATACTAAATATATATGGTAATATTTTTTTTCAAAATACAGGAAGAAAGATAAATAAATAAATAATCCATAAATAATTTAGCCGCGACTCAACGTCAACGTCACAAGCAAAATAAGCAGCAGATTAAAATGCATGCAAAATGTTTAACAACAATAAAAGAAAAGTTAAGAAAATCAAAACAAGTAGAAGAAATTTCCCAAACTTTTCACACACGCGTCAAGCCCGAAAAACTTGTCTATACGAACGCTCCGTAGTATTTTTATAAGATAATGCGAAAAGCCCGAAATAGACGCACAAAGAGAAAAACACGCACATGATGCAAGAGATTGGAGACACATAGAGAAAATGAGAGTTAAGAAAAAAAAGAAATAGAAAATAGAAAATAGAAAAATATTGCGGCGACAACGTCCCGAAACTGGGCGATTGTGGTAAAAATGTTGTTTAGATGTCCAATAGACAAATCAGTTTGTTGGGAGACGATCGCCGAACCAGACCGTAGCAAAAGTATATTTCATGTCGAGCGGCGCACACACACAACTACATATATAGTATCTATAGCTATATATCTATATATCTATATATAAGTATATAAGTATATATGTTCATGTGCTAACAGCTGGCAGCAGCAATTTTGAGTGCGGCGGTACGCGAAAAACAAGCCAAATCGAATTATGTAAGTGTTCTTTATAGAGCCACAACCCGGCCATATATTACCAAAAAACAACAAAAATCAATAACAAATAACGCCAATGTGCAAGAAATAAATTAAAAAAAAAAAAAAATGAAGGATTTATAAAAGAGGTGTGTGCTAAAAATAAACACAACTAAATTTAAACCCAAGAAAAAACTGTTCAATATATTCAGCTGAAAGTTCAAGGCATTTCACATTTTCAATAAATAAACCAAATTTACGCATTAAATAAATTAGTTTGCCTTTTTTTTTGTTTGCTTTTTGGTTAATTTGCGGCACAAATAAAGTTCAATTCAAATTGTGCAAAAAATAAACGCAAATTTTAGGCAATTAACAAGAAGGCAAGAAATAAAGTGTTTATAAATAGTTTCTGCGCTCGTTTGCACGTGTGTGTGTGCGTACTGTGTGTGTGTGTATCTGTGTGTGCTGTGTGGCTGGCTCCCAGGGCAGCTGCCACTTGAAGCTGCCAACGACAACGTGGCAGAAGAAAGAGTGAGAAAGGAGGGAGTAGGGAGGAGTAGAACGCGTCGATCAAGATACTTTATAAAAGACACAAATTAAATGAAATTAAAAACAATCTTAAGTTTACAAAGAAACAAAACTTAAATCAATATTTTTCAACAAAAATATTCGATGTTCTTAAAACAGAACTTTTTTTAAAAAAAAAAACTCACAATCTAAGCAATTTATAGAAACAGAAAACTTTTGAAAAAATAATTAAAAAAAATATATTAAAAATATTATGTTAGTTGATATAAGTGGAATTACTATTAATAACATATATAAGTATAATAACAATAATAATAAAAATAAGGAAGTTTTAAAAAATTAACTTAAACATATATATACCAAAATTATTATATTAATTCATATACGTGTAATTATTAATAACAGCAAATATAATGATAACAAATATTTAAATAAATATAATAATAATTAATATAATAATAATAATAATAATATAACAATAATAAATATAAATTATCCCAGATACTTAAATAAAAAATGTTGCCTGATTGATTATAGAAAAAGGAAACTTTAAAAAAGTACCTACAAAAAATATATTTAAAATGTTATCTTGACATAATTGTAATTAATATAATATCAATAATAATAATATATATAATACAATAATAATAAATGTAATTTATCCCAGCTATGTTAATAAAACATTTTGCCTGAGGGACTACAGAATAGGAAGACTATAACTAAGAAATAAAATTAAAAAAATTATATACAAATTATTATATTAGTTGTGTATTTATTTATACCAGCAAATAAAATAATAACAAATATTAAAAAAAAATATAATAATAATTAATATAATAATAATAAATACAAATTATCCCAGCATTTGTCCAAGTTATTAAAACATTTTATCTGAGGGTCTATCGAAAAAGAAAACTTTAAGAAAGTTATTAAAAAAATATATGAAATATATACATATTATAAACAGTTATCGATTTTAAACCAGACGTTAATTTAATATAAACGTTTTTAACGGTTTTTGTTTTTTTCCAACTATTTTATATTTGACTATCGATTTAAGACTCGTTTCCAAAGAGGTTGGTGAAATATACTTTCAGATTGCATTAAATTCACTTTTATCGGTGGAAATGAGCGTTCGGGAGAGTAAAAATTTGTAAATATTCCAAAATTGTATTTGAATGCTAAATAACGTTACAAAAAGTATGGAAAATTTTGTAATAATTCGAGAAATGTATCATATTGAATTTTAATGCCGAATACATATTCCTAGGCAACGTTTGTTAGTGCCCGATGGAATTCTTTATAAAAAATAACAAGATTAAGTCCAAATGCAGCTTTATAATTTTATATAGGCTTGCTGAATTATATTACAGATTTTACAGCTTGCTAGAAATTTTTTAAGATATTTCCATTAAACCACTTTTCTGGGTGGAAATGAGCGTTCGGGAAAGTATGGAAATTTTCTTAAAAATTTCAAGTTTATTGTATTTTATTTGGAAGCTAAATACGATTTCTGAATGGAAATAAATGTTCGGGAAAGCACGGAATATTTGTTTACAATTCCAGTATAATTAATTTGATTGCTTAGTACATATTCCTATATTTAATATATTTTACATTAAAATTGCAGATTATATTTAAATCAAAAGCTATTTTAAAATATGTCTACAGTAATTTCCTGTTTCTAAACTTTAGCTTCTTCGACATTTGTCATGCAACATGCGTCAATAGATTGTTGCATATATGCGCGGGCTCTTTCTATCTCTCTCTTTCCCTCTCTCCCTCTTTTCCTCTCTCTCTCTCTCTTAAGAAAATCTTTTAACCAGCTATTTTTATCACTCATTCTTTTATCTCAATTTATTTAATATATTTTCGATTTCATTTTCTCTTGATTACTTCAATTCTTATTTGCATTTCTTATTTACTCTTTCTTTTTTTGGTGCTACTCTTTCCATACATTTTCAATTCTCTTCTTCCCTCTCTCTCTCTCTCTCTCTCTCTTTGTATTCAAATGCACTTAGACATGCTGTCAGCTCGCACTAATTGAGTCACACGAATTATTTCCTTTTGCTTGTTGCGCCTCGTTTCATAAATAAACAAGAAAATTTTCAGCAAAATTTCGCAGTTTATGGCAGAGCGCCTTAATACCCTGTAAATTTAGAATTGTGACAGAAATGCTTGACTAAATATTGGCATAGTTTTTATGGAAACTCTTTTAAGCATTTCATAAAAACATTGCATATTTCCAGGCTCAGCTGGAGTTTATTTTATTCTGAAATATAAATATTCGAAGCCAGAAATATATGGTTTTTTTTTAAGTCTATACAGAGAGTATCTCATAGCTGCTTTTAGCTTGCATTTTAGACTTGTTTTGAATCGAAATATTTTGGCCTATATTTGAACGGTTTATTCGTGGAGCAACTTTGGCGGCGATTGGGCGGATTTTTGTTGCATTTCGCATTGCAAACAGCTTTTACCTAGGAACTTGTCTCAAAATTTAGGTGAGCAGGCTAAAAATATTCTAGAAATATATGAAAAAAATAACATATATATGTTGGCAGTTGTGTGTAATTGAATATGAAGTCTTTTGAAGTGTCCACAAGATATATATACATATATTTATTTTTGCATATATATATATATATATTCAAATTTGCACAAATGTCGCTTAGTTTCTTTTTTAAAATAGATTTATAATATTCAAAAAGAAATAGATAAATATATGGAAATCGGGTAGAAAATAAAAGACGTAAAGAAAATTCGAAAAATAACAAAATAATGAATACACCCAAAAAAAATTATGCTTTATCTAGACATGGTTCCAAAAATAAAAAACAGTAAAATCAAAAATGTTTTGCCACATAAACAACTCGTTAAACAGCTCGTAGCTTCTCCACATATGCTCCATTTTTGCTAAATACTTTTTTGTTTTTCATAATACCCAAAGATTGAAATAGAAATAAGAAGAAGAAGAAGAAGGAGAAGCAGACGAACTGTAGAACAAAACGGCTGCAGCAGACGCAGGCGAAGAGAGAAAGATGACGACACCGCAATTGCTCAATAAAAACATACGCACAATGCCCGCCTGGGTGGTGAGTAGACCCCAGAGAAGTCTCGGAGTTGGAGAATTCGAATTATCGATTGCATTGCATATAGAACGAGGCGAACGATCGCATTGGACCCAAGCCGCCGCCTACGCCCATGAATGGTAATGCGGCGAGTAATGGAAGTCAGCTGAAGGTGCCGACACTGCCACCCAAGACGAAGAACACACCCGAACCCGACTACGAAGTCATCGAGTTCTCCAATCAGCAGCAGTACTCAAATGAGCCCATGAAAACTACACAGATTCGCACCAAAACGCCAGGCAAGTGATAGATTATAGATGAAGAAGAAAGTACTAGAGGCAATATGTAGATTATAGAAGAAGAGATACTAGAGATAAGTGATAGATTATAAAAGAAGAAGAAAATGCTAGAGTAGTACTTGAAGAATTACAAACAGTAATAGATAATAATTTCTTGAAGTACCAGAAGTAGTAATGATAATCGTTTAGGAGACACAGAAATACTAAGAAAATAGTTAAAGGTTATACTAGGAAAGTACTTTAAGAAGACCAATAAAAGTACGGCAGTACACCAGCAGAACACACAGGAGAAGTACTTTTACAAATATTAGAACTAAAAAAAAAAACAATATTACACAAATTAATTCTGTTAACAATTAGGAAGTAATCCACCAGAAATACAAATTTAAAATAATACTCGACTAGTACATCAAGAATACTAACGAAGAATATTTATACGCAACAGAAGAAAAGAGAGTAGTACTTAACCAGAAGCAATAGAGTTAAATAAGAAAATATACCAAAAATATTAGAGACGGAATTTAGTAAGCACTAGAAATTGTTTAAAAATATTTTTAAAAACGCTAGGATTACCTGGGAAATACTATTACTAGTTCCAGAAATATTAAGAATGTATTCCTAGAGGACTAATAATACTAGAAAAGTAGTTCTAGAAGAACTATGATAACACGTTAGTACTTTAACAGAATACACAAGAGAAGTAATTTTAGATATAATAGAAGTAACAAAATTTTAAAAACTAACAAAAATATATGACAAAAAAAAGTATGATTGTTAAAAAAATTAGGCAGTACTTAACCAGAAATATCAGAGGAGAACAATACTAGACTATATATATAATATAATATAGATATCTAATAATAAATAATCATATCTGGAAGTACCATAAAGAAAAGATGATAGTACTTAACCAGAAATATTAGAGTTATTTTAAATTACAGTAGAGCTTCAAGAACTATTGCAAATGCTAGAGTATAAATTTAACTAGAATCAAAAAATAGTTGAAAAGTAATTCTAAGTATTTCTAGATACAGCAGATATACTAGGGTCGTACTTCCGGCACATTTGATTTTATTTATAGAGCAGAATGAAAGATCAGTTAAGTAAAAAGTTATCCATTAAAGTGAGTTGAAAAGGAACGTATAAGAAATTACATTTAAATATATATAAATATATTTATCACTCGATATAGATCTGTAAAATTACGTTCGAATATCTCTATTTATACCAGACTGTTGTCTTTTATCTGAGAAAATCTAGGCTTTTCTGAGGCAGGTTCAAAATATTTTTTTAGAAATATCTAACATATTTTTCCTTTTCTGGATCAGTTCCACTATATAATAAAGTATTGAAAATGTTGTTTATTTAGTTTAATAGATATCTTAACGTAAAACTACGAAAACTAGTTCAAAATAATCTAAAGAAAAACCATCGTTATTTTAATATTTTTCTTATCAAGACTTTGGTTAAGCTCAGATTGAAATTTTCCATATTAATATAATATCTATTAAAAATGTCAACGTTTAATTCGTGTAGATAACAAACTGAAATGCACACTGTGCGGCTCACAGAATCCCTGGGTGACCTGTGCCGAGTGCGCGGGTCAAATCTTTTGCGCCAGCTGCGATGACATGTTCCACAAGCATCCCAAGCGGAAGCAGCATATACGCAAGGTGGGTTGCCATCAACTCCATATAGAGTATTTCAATAATGTCCAAGCTGAACACACATTGGCAGGCTGTGGAGCAGGGCACACCGCCCGTGCCACCGAAGGCGGCGGCGGGAGGCGGCACACCGCCGGTGGCGCCACCGCGACGCAGCAAGCGCGGCTTGTTGACACCGTTTCTGGGCCGCAAGGAACAGGTACGCCACTGCACGATTTTATAAAACCAAAATACAAACTACGTACTAGTACAAGTGGGCCTAGGGCCAAGCCAAGCCAAGCCAAGCCAGCCTAGTTAGCTACCATTTAGTACAAGTTTGTAATTGATTTTTGAATGCTTCAATAAAACAAAAACAAAAACGAAAAAGAACAACAAAATACGAAAGAAAACCTTAATGCTGCCTGCCTCCTGCACGACAAGATCAAGCGAAAAATGCGAAATGGAAACCAAACCGAAAACTCTTTTGCAGATGTTGCCGCCGGCCTCGCCGACGCCCTCGCACAAGTCCAATGCCTCTGGCGTCTGGCGGGGCACAGGAGCGCCCCAAATGAACAATCGCCCGTTGCCGGAGCCGCCGCGTTCGGCGCCCAGCGAGGGCGGCGGCTCCTCGCGCTCCGGCACGCCCAAATCAGTATTCGACACGATCAGCCGCCCGCCCTCCGTGCAGCTGGAGAAGATCAAGACCAAGGCGAACGCCACGCTGGATCGCATGGCCCAGCTCCAAATGCGCTACCGCCAACAGAGAGCGCTGCACGACACGACGGGCAGCGAACAGGTAAGCCCGGATGGAGAATCCCCCCCTCCCCCCTTCCATTCAAATTTCCACAATGTTGTCCCTCATCTATATCGTGTTCGTATCGTGTGTGCGTCAATGTCTTGTCCTTGTCTCACCCCGCACACACACACACACGCACTCGCTCTCTCTCTCTCTCTCTCTTTCTCGTTCTTTGTGCATCCTACACTGAAACGCAGCATTTGGCGAACTTCGAGCATTGGTCAAACAACAACATTTCACCATCGCCATCGCATTTTCGTTCCGGCAGCATGTCATCCGGTTTGAATTCATCGCATTTTGATCTATCGGATGATTCACACAATTTTCACAATTCCCTGTTGCTCCAACAACAACAACAACGACAACAACAACAACTACAACAACGACAGGCAGCGAGCGGTCAGCGTCGCCAAATGAGCAGCTCCGTGTTCAATTTGAACAGCCTGAACTCGCGTCGTCCTCTCGCCGAGAATCAGCCGAACGGCGCCTGGCTGGCCAGTCAGCGCATGCAACAGGTAAGTCCGTGGATATTCCCTTTTGTCCTAGCTTTGACTTATTCGATCTAAAACGGAGTCCTTTTTCTGTTCGCAGGCCCAATCCTTGGCGCAGCTCAACTGCGCCGGCTGCCAGATCCATCAACAGCCCAACTGGCCGCCGCCGCCGTCGCCGCATCCACATGCTCAAATGCCTGGCGATGAGTGGTCACAGTTTGGCTCCCAGCAGCAGTTCAATCACTCGAATCTGTCGCTCAACTTGGGCGCCGGCTACTTGCCACAGCAGCAGCAGCTGCAGCAGCATCCGCCGCACTATCCGCCGCCCGTGTTCATGACCCAGCGCGGCATGATGCCCAATATGTATCCGGGCGCAGCGGGTTATCCCATGATGCATCCAGGTGAACTGCCATAATGCATACTATGCTCGCATTAACTTATACCCTGTACATTTGTCCCCTCAAGGCGTCATGGGCATGCCACCCACAGCTGCCTCGCGTGCCACGTCGCGCGCTCGTTACGCCGCCTCGCCCACGCCCAGCCGCAAGTCCGTGTCCGTGTCCGTGCGGCGCAAGCGCAGCAGCTATGTGGACGATGAGCTCACCGACGACGAGGACTCCGATCAGGATGACCGGCGGTCCCTGGTCTCGAATCGCTCGGGCATGACCAGCGCCTCGCGCGCCCATCAGCATCATCAGCGTCAGCGGCGCTTGTCCAGCGCCTCGCAGCTGATGAGCAACGGGGCCAACGATGAGCTGGACGGAGAGCAGCGACACGGCGGCAGGCAGCACAAAATGCGCGATCGTCGCGGCTCCGTAGCCAAGTCCGTGCAGAGCGAGTGGCTGCCCGACCGGCGGGATTCAAATGCAGGAGGCGGCACCTTGAAGCGTCATCAACAGGAACTATCGAAAACCAGTCGCATCTATTCGGATCTGGAGTCGGAGGGTTCGGGGGCACGTGCTTTGGTCCAAGCTAAAATCCAACAGAAACTGCAGGAGGCAGATCAGCAAAAGACGAAAGAGAAACGAGCCGAGTCCAAGCGCAGGCCAGAAATGAAGGATGAGAATACGCAGGCAGCGGCGGTTGTGCAGAAGCTGACGGACACAACGCCAGCTAAGACAGAGCAAAGCGAATCCGAGTACGAGGAGGTGGTGGAGGAGGTCACCGCCTCGGAGAGCGAGGCGGAAGCGGAAGTTCCAACAGCAGTTGCAGTGGAGGAAGCGACAGAAGATGATTTAGGTCCGCCGCCAACGACGCCCGATCACGAATGGGAATGCGAGTTCTGCACATTTGTGAATGAGCCCAATATTAAAATCTGTGCTATATGCTGCAAGACGCCATGCAAACCACCCGTCAAGCCAAAGGCAACCAACAAGATCGAAAACAGATCCACCACAGTTGAGCCCAAGACGACGACGACAACAACTCAATCAGAGGACAAGCTTGTGCGCAAGAGCGCCATGAAGACCACAAGATCCGTGGAGCAGGCTGTTCCGGCCACACAAAGCACGTCCAAGCTGCCAGCTGCAGTCAAGCCCAAACAGGCGATACAATCCAAGGCCAACATTAAGAAATCCGCAACAGCTGTCAAGTCCAAGCTGAAGTCCACATCGGACAATCAAACGGATAGTTCCCTCTCCAAGGGTTTCATACACAAAGGTAGGATTCTCAAGAAAATCTCATTTTTCGAGGGCACCAAGAGCTGAACGGCAAAAAAAAAAAAACACACCCTCTCCATTTAAAAACAAGACAAGACTTTAACTTGTGTATACCCTGTAATAACCAACTGTAACTGTTAGAACATACAATTAACGCATTTAATGAAACTATACGAAATACAAGTCAAGTCCCAAACTAAACATCCTTGAGTTTTGTTTTGTTTTAAAAGCTCTCATCCATACCTTCCAGAATCCGTTGAGAATATTTGGAATACACTGGATGAGAGCATACAGGCACAGGCGGAACAGGTACTCAAGCAGGCGCAAAAAGTCTCCACCGGCTGTGGCGGCACCCCGCCCAGGGAGCTGGCAGCCCCGAAACCGGATGACCCGCTGCGACAGGCACGTGAAATGGCTACGTCACCTCCGCCGCAGAACATCTCCACACAAGTAACAAGAAATCTCAAGTAAATTTAAGCTCTGGGCTAAGTAGCAACTTTTGCAGACCTACGATGCGCTGCCCATTGCAGCAGCAGCTGCTGCTACTTCCCATCCGGAGCCAGCCAGGATGGAGCGGAAGATCTACTATCGCAGCAGCTCACAGCTGACGCAGGAGAACGAGCGGGATTTAAGAATGCAGCCGGAGCCCGCCGCAGTTCTATATAACAGCGGGCAGCTGACGAGACGACCGAATTTCATAAACGATCTCAGAACTCTGCAGCACGTAAGTCGAGTCTGAGCTTGACGAAGCTTATTTTTATGTTTATTCCGATCGACAGCAAACCTCGTCACCATTTGATTTGCCGCACGAATCGGTTGGCTACAAGCACGAACCAGCACGAGATCCCGAGATCGAAATGCACATCATACTCAAGGAACTGGAGCTCTATAAATTCACTGTGGAAGAATTGGAAGCAGCTCTGAAATATTGCGGCCCGGATATGCATCCCATACAATGGCTGCGCGAGAACTGGCACAAGCTGGTCCAGACCGTGCAGAGCCTATCCACAAAGTACGGTCAGGAGCGGGCGGAGAACACAATCGGAACTATCTCACAGAACGAGGCGCGTGAGGCGCTTCGGAGCTCGGCTGGAAATGTTTGGCAGGCGGTGGCCGAGTGCATACAGCAGCGACAGCAAAAGTATCGCAAGCTGGCGGCGAAGGGGAATTTCCTGAGTGAGGACATTGTGAATGCGTTGACGGCGCATCAAGGTAATGTGGAGCAGGCTTTGATGGAACTGAATCGCACACAGCTCAAACCATTTCTAATGCGCATCTGGGGCTCGCCGAACGGCGTGGAGAATGAGAGCGTGGCCGTAGATAACAAGTCGGGTTAGTTTGTAGTTCGAAATTCCACATATGTATCACACACTATTCATAGATCTATTTCATCTCTGTATAGACATCCATGAGTTTCTCAACACACATGCTTTGGACTGTTTGCAAATGCAGAACAGTGAGAGTCCAGCGCTTGCCAATCCATTCGATGCTCTATACACTGATGACACTCATAGTCCTGCCAAGTCTACATATGCCACGCCCAGTCCTTACCAGCTAGAAGATAGTACGCTCAAGAATCTCGAAATACTCATTGGCAATATGGAACAGAATCAGGCCAAGCAGAATCAGGAAGTACTTCGTTCGATTGAGACCATGCTGGAGACTTTCAAGGGCAAGCCCGATCAGGAGTATGAAACGGATCCGGAAGTCATGCGCATTCTTACCAAAAGTCCGATTAGCACACTGAAATCCCCAACCGCTTTGTCGGACAAGTCCAGCGACGATGTCAAAAACTTTGTCTGGCAGCACATACAGGATATTGAGCCCAATCTGGTGCAGCAGGTGGAGCAAGAGCTTATGGAACCCATGGAACCTATAGAAGTAGCGCCACCAATAAACACAATTGCGCCTGAGCCAATCCCAGAAAAGGAGCCCACGCCACCGCCGCCTGATCCTGGGCTTTATATCATGGAAGAGTTCATCAGGCCAAATTTAAGAGAGAGTGCCATACGTGAGGAATTGCCACCGAATTTTATTTATGCCACGGAAATAGCCAACTTTAAACTGGAGTTTGATCGTGGCATGGAGAGATGGCATGAATCGGAATTCAAGTTGGATGACCTGGAGGATGCGGAGCACATTGTCTACAAGAGCTATATGGCACCCAAGGTGGAAGCTGTAAAAGAAGAAGAACTACCAGAGGCCACAGTGAGCCAACAGCAGAGCCACAATTTGCACAATCTGGAGACTGATAGAAAACCCAACGATAGAGATGCTGGCCCATCTACAGTAGTGGAGGCAATCGCAGCGCAGTCTTCTCTTAGCTCAGATCCTTCTACATCTGCTAAAAAGTCTGATGAAATAATCCCAAAGGAACTTATCAATGCGTCGACAAACAAGCTACCAGCTCACAGCTCTTTAGTCCCAACGGCTATTGCAACTGAGAAGTCACAAGAGATTTCACCAGAAGAAAATTTGGCACCTTCTGCTCTCGAGTCGAGGGTTACAGCTCAGACAACAGCTGAACTTGAGGAGAAGCCCAGCTCAAGTCGAGAAAATAATAAAAGAAATAAAAGATCCCAGTTGCCGAAAAAAGGAAGAACACGCGATCAAAGTCAAAAGCCGGAAAACAGAAATAGGTTGCCCAACATTACAGCGAAAGTGTTGGAACAAAGCGAACCTAAGGAGCAGATAGAACTGCTTCAGATAGACACAGTGCCAAACATAGCTGGGATAGAAGTACAGTCTGAAAAAACAGCAACTGAAGCTGTAGCAGGAATTGCAGAAGCTGTAATGGAAGTAAAAGCCGAAGCAGGAGTCGCAGGAGCAGAACAAGCTAATGAAGAAGCTAAAGCAGCAGTACAAGCTACACCTGAAGAATCTAAGGAGGAACTACAGGCCGAAACGGAAGAAGTACAAGCAGTGGAAGCGCTTTTACAACCTGAAACAGAAACGGAAACACAAGCTGGAAGTCCTCCTTCAACAATTCAAATTGAAGCAGTTGACACAGAACCAAACAACGACCATTTGGAACCATCTGAGACTTTGGTCAATGTTGTGGAAGTCGAAGGAGCTTCACAGGGCTCTGAAGATAATTCAAAGTCCCCACAAGTTTCACAGTTCGAAAACGCGCCTACTCAAGCTGGGGAGAGCATTCCTAGTTTAGAAGCAGATGAGATACAAGTAACACGAGCTGCAGAGCAAGCCGAAAGAATGCCATCCTTAGCCGCCCTAGCCCAAACAGAGCTTCCCACAAGTAGCACAATTGAGTTAATTCCAACTATTGCTGTGGCGTCCAATCAGAAACGTAGTCCCAAACGTTTCTCTAAAATACCCGTGCGAACTCTCAGCACAAATAGTCTGCGCAGCGAAAGCAGAAATAGTACACATACGCCAACAGCAGAGGTTGAAAGAACCACTACGAATTCCGAGGAGCATAAGGAATCCAGTACGGAAGAAGGCATGCCAGAAGCTCAAGATGTTAACTCGCAAGCAGAACCAACAACCGAGCGGAACACATCTGCCGAGGTAGTCACACCCAACGACTCGGAGGAGGTCTTTGAAGATGCCACAGAGTTCGGCAGTGAGGAGCAGCAGGCACACGATGAATCTCCCTCCGACACAGAGCTCTATAGTCTGGACAGTGAGGAACACCCTCCAAAATCGCCAGAAAGTGAAGTGCTGCTCGTTCTCAACCCTGAGGAGCCGACGGAGAGCTTGAGTGTAGTACAATCTCCTAGCAGTACCACAATCAGTTCGCATTCAAGTGAATCCGATGCGGAACCGGTGGTCTTTAAGGAGTTTATACCATCTGGAGATCCTACCAAGCAAAATCTAAGTGAACTTGTGGAAGACACCCAACGTTTGATCAAGCAAATGCGCGACGAGATAAGCATGGATGAGTTTGAGTCCACCGACGAGGAGGACTACTCCGAAGACTACTCCGATGAGTACGATGAGGGCGAAGAGGAAGACTGGTATGACAGTGAGGGTGAGGAAGAAGGCACCTATAACGAGCACGCCTCGTTTATTGAGGAGGCCTCCAGTGGTGCAGCTGCTGGTTTGGTGGAAGGCGACGAAGAAGGCACCGAAATTGAAGACATTATCGAGGAGGATGAATTCGAAGAGGAAGAAGACGCACTGGCAGAACAAAAACAATTAGCTGACACGCATGAAGCAGTCACGAGCACCTCATCAGTCACGCCCACAAATCATGAAACTGAGCCAACTGAGGAAACTGAGACTGTTTCTTTCACAGGCAGGGCAGTCGAGGAGAGCATAAAACTAGACGCAGCATCAACAATTGAAGCTGAGCCAGTTGTAGCTTCTGCTCCGGAAGAGCCTGCAAATGAAGCTGAGACTTCGGTCGGAGAGACTGTGGAATCTATTTTCCCAACACCGATAGCTCTTACCGAAAGTCGACCAGTAGAACTGCCCGCGGAAATTGTTTTAGAGCCGGTTTCTCAACCAGCTGAGGCACTGACTGTGCCAACTGCCTTACCCCTAACTCCCGCTCCACCCATTGTCGACTCCGAAACCCGTCCATTGGAACCACCTAGCGAAACAGTATTGGAAGAGCCCAAAAAGGTAATCCCCAACAACAACACACACGCCACAACAAGCAAAAAGACAACCAAAACAGAGACACCAACAACTACCAAAGCACTCAGCACTCAACCCAAAGCCACCAAGACCCCGGTTAGCAAAATACCCAAGCTCACAAATGAAACCACAAACAACAACACCAAGAAATTGCCGTTGCGTTCCAAGTCCTTTTCCGCGCCCATGGGCATCTCCTCCGTCAAACGCATACAGCAGGAGTTCCTGCAGAAGCAAGCGCCATCGAGTCCAACGACAGCAAGTCGTGTGCCGCTCAAGAGTAGCCCCAGCAATAAGAAATCCCTGACTGAGGCCATCAACAAATTCAATACAAAAACCACACTGGATGGGCCCAGCACAAGTGGGGCAGCGGCTGCGGTTAACGCTCTTCTGAAGCCCCGAACTCAGCCAAGGATACCCAAAAAGAAATACCACGAAACCTGCTTCTCGGATGACGACTACGAGACCTCGGCTACAGAGGAGGATGACCAGGAACAGCTGCCGGCACCAGTCAAGGCCGAAATGCTTCAGCGTAAACTCAGCATGCCCGTCTTTCGCGCCTATCCCAGTGTCCAGGAACCAGTCATTGAGGAGCCAGCGGTGTGTAGATCCAAACGGATAGCTCAGTAAATGCCTGATACAATTGGTTCTCTTCTACTCTCATTTACAGGTGCTGGCACGCAAATATGTGGAACAGCAGCTGGTGACGAACATTGCGGAAGCACAAATAGCCGCCACTCTGGTGAACATGAAGTTCCAGGAGGATGTCGCTCTGTGGGCGGCCAGAGAGTGCTCGGATTTGGATCAGGCCATATCCATGTTGCAGCAGGAATGCGAGCTATGCATGAATAACTATCCAATGAATCAGATTGTGTCCATGCTGAAGTGCACCCACAAATGTTGCAAACAGTGCGCCAAAAGCTATTTCACCGTACAGGTGGGTGATCAAGCGACTTCACGGATATATCCTTACATAATAGTAATAATAAGGCAATACTTATTCAACCTTCCTGATGAAGGTATGGTGAACTAGCCCTGATCTGAGCAGTGAGCACTGAGCACAAACCACGAGCTGGAAATAGACCAGTTGCTTCCTTCCACCTCAAAGAAAGTCTGAACATTAACAAAGGTTGTTCATAGTTCTTTCGTCTTCCTACAAGCAGCGCCTAGGAAATGATTTCGAAATGTCTTAAGTTGCCTTTTAAGGGCAGCAATAAGCACATCAGTCCATCGTCCAAGTCCCTTCCTACAGTTAAAGCATCTTTTAATTCCCTAGGATGGAATTGTTATACTAAATCGACTCACTTCCTTGGAATTAATTCCTTTATTACCCTTGGAGGTCTTGTTCTTCCTCCAAGCTATCATACAAGTCAATTACTTCTCGCCGATGGAAGAAGTTTATTCCTCAGTGTCAAGTCTTCAGTTTGAGATGTCAATTCCTAGTCCCAGTCCTAATCCTACAATTTATTTCCCTAGATTTAACTGCTTGCCTTCTTCCATACAGATAACCGACCGCAGTATAAACGATTGCAGCTGCCCGTACTGTAAGCTGCCCGAGCTGAGCAACGAGCTGCAGCATGAGGATGAACATTTGGAATACTTTTCCAATTTGGATATATTTCTGAAGAGCATTTTGGACAGCGATGTGCACGAGCTGTTCCAGCGCAAACTGCGGGATCGTACACTGTTGCAGGATCCCAATTTCAAGTGGTGCATACAGTGCTCCTCGGGTTTCTTTGCCCGACCCAAGCAGAAGCGTTTGATATGCCCCGATTGTGGTTCGGTGACCTGTGCCCAGTGCCGCAAGCCCTGGGAACGCCAACACGAGGGCACCAGCTGTGAGGCGTATCTCGAGTGGAAGCGGGAGAACGATCCGGAGCTGCAGGCCCAAGGAGTACAGGAGCATTTGGCCCAAAATGGCATCGATTGTCCCAAGTGCAAGTTTCGCTATTCATTGGCCAGGTGGGCCAGGCTACTTTTAGGATTTATTCTCTATAGGATTCTAATTCGAATATTTTGTTTTCAGGGGCGGCTGCATGCATTTCACCTGCACCCAGTGTAAATTTGAGTTCTGCTACGGCTGCGCCAGACCCTTCATGATGGGCGCCAAGTGCAACATTTCCCCGTACTGCGCCAAGCTGGGCTTGCATGCCCATCATCCACGCAATTGTCTCTTCTATCTGCGCGACAAGATACCCTTGCAGCTGCAGTTCCTGCTCAAGGAGCACAAGGTCAAGTTCGACACGGAACCTGTGGAGCTGCAGGACGAGCCAAGCAGCTCCAGCAAGGCGCGCGCCCAGGCACGCTGTCCCATACCGCTGCAGAAGGAGACACCACAGGGCCTAGTCGACACTGTCTGCAACAGCGAAGTGCCCGAAAAACATGCGGGCATGTGTCGGTAGGTGTTATAAGACATTTCCTATTCGAGCACTGCATCTTACTCGAATACTCAATCGAAAGCAAACTAACTCGAGTTCGATCAAGCCAAGTTCGAACTGCTCGAGTCTGCAACATGTGCGAGTCGAGTTTGAAGCGAGCTCAGTCGCTCGACTCGAACGAATCATTTTTTTGTTTGCAACTCGAACAGCTCGTACGCTCGATCGAAATCATTTTACGCGTATTCGTTTCGATTGACTTGATGCGGAGCTCTTGTGCTTGTAATTAGATCTATAGCTAATCTGTTTGTTTTTTTTTTTGCAGCACACATTACGTAGAGTATTTGGCTGGGAAGGTGGCCAAGGCCAGCATCGATCCGTTGCCCATTTTCGATTTGACGGACTGCGTACAGGAGTTACGTAGGCGTGGCATTGCCCTGCCCGAACGTGGGCCCTGGGACACCGACGAGATCTACAAGAACATGTGCTCTGAGGTTAGTTCAATGCCATCAATTGGCGATTTTATTGATTTCGATACACTAGAGCAGCTGGGTATATTGATTTGGTTATGAAATGTGTAGCGCATCAAGAGCCGTAGAGTACATTTTTGAGCAGAAGTAAGAGATATAGCATAAAGGCATGTGAAAATTATTGTCTCTGTTTAAAAAGAAACTTTAATCGAATGAAATTTTGTGAAAGCAAGCACAGATACATCATATAGTTCTCATAGGAACTACCGATTTTGCTTGGAATTTTGGTATAAAAAAAACATTTTAAGATTTAGGAGATTTTTTGAGCAACCTCACAAGCAACAAGAATCAGAGTTTTTACAATATTTTGGGAAATAAAAGGCTTAAATATTTGGATAAAAATTAATGTATGTCTGAAACCCGAAGTTCGTAGCTTAACTTATCAGACTATATGATAGAGTAATCTAAATTTTTACGATCAGCATAATATATTTAATTGTGATAGTGTATATAAACTTCGGTAAACTTGCCTGCTTGTTGGTTTTCCCTTTAACAAATTGTTTGGCTTTGCGTGTTACTTTTTATTGAGTTTGTTTTACGCGGAAAAACGCATTTCCTGCGGCTGTTTTGACCCGATGAATCAGTTCACGCCCCCGCTATTAATAGCCGTCGATCGATTGAAAACAAAAACATTTGGCTAATACGTACGCCTAAATTTAGCCTCGACTCTGACGTATTTCACACGCGTCTTAATTGGTTTTTGTTTTTTTTTCTTCGCCTTTATTAGTATTTAATTGTAAACAAGGAAAATAGCAAATACAAATGTTTATCTCTCGCCTCCTTCTCTATAGGTAATCAAACAACATATACCACTGAAATCGGCCTGAGTGCGATCGTATATATATATACATATATATACAATAGCTGGACCCGGCTGGATATGGCTCTTCCTGAACAACTTGGACGTCGCTCTTTGAGTGCTGCACTTTTTTTCATATCATGCAATTCTTTATGATTTATCGCATACATTTTTATATAGACATTTTTATATATATATATAGAGCATACACATATATGTTTATGTAAATTTTAGACAGCTTTTTAGACATTCACACGCCCCCGCCCCCGCCCATTCGTACACACCCACAGATCTATTTGTTTAGCTAGTAAGCAATTTGAAATGATTTTTGTTTTGCACAGCATCAGCCGAGACACAAACCATAGACTTTATATGGACAGACGAGAGAGAGACAGACACGTGGCATTAATGGCATCCAATAAACAAGCTTTTGTGTGTGCAACAATTTATTAATGAATGCATTTTTTTCGCTAAGCGTGTTTTAAATATATATTCCAAATATTTTCATGCCAGATGCCGTTTACGATGCCAAAATAAACCAATTTATAGAAATCAAAGTGGTTGCGCCTCCAAAAAATATTCAAATGTTGATTTAAGAAAAAATAGAAAAAATAATATGAAAATATCGTATATTTTGAAAAGGTAAGTTAAGTGTTTATTTGTTTTAACAACATTTGTGGCAGCATCTGGAGAAACAGAAATAGAAAATCTTCGGACAACGCTATGAAAGGCAATTCTCCAGAGATATAGCAAAAGATCAGCATAAAGGCATATCAGTTTATATGGCATGAAAAGTATATCAAAAAGGCATATCAAAAAGGATTTAAAAACGCTATAAAATATTAATAAAAAGGCTAATAATGCCTTAATCCTCTATATCAATCCATCTTTAAACATATAAAAACAACATTTAAATGTCTCGATAACAATTATAATATAATATAATCTAATATAATTATGCAAGGATAAATTTATTATATATCTCTTGATAAATAGACAAAGACAACTATTTAATATATATGTTATCTTCATTTAACTATTTTTCTATAATTTCTATTAGGCAGATTTCATATCGAATTTTAACATTATTATAGCTTATATAACTAGAGTTTTCATGAACAAAAAAAGAGATATGAAAGAGATATATTTAAGAAAGTCTCTTTCTTAATTTCTTGTACAGGGTATAACGCAGGCGAGCAGTTTTTCGAGTGATTTATAAAATCAAAATCTGAATAGCTTCAATAGGCGCCTTTAGTAAACTTTCTATAAGAAGTATATGTTGACAGTGTTACCTACAGGTTACCCTGCATATTTTGGAATAGTACAGGGTATACAACACCCAAATATGGGCTGATCTATATCAGATATAAATATGTCTTAGTCGATAAACATGTAAAAGAAAGACGCTGTCATGTTACCTAAAAGTATTTGAGGAGCTGATCTTCCATTTCCTCGAATCGGAAAGATCTTGCAGAACTGTTGCATACTTTTCGGGGCTGACATTAACATTAAATTGAGTGTCGCACATTGGGACGGGCGTTTCCGACTCTTGCGACTCGCAAGGTAGAAAATGCGAAATGCGGCTCATAAATTACGCGCGAACAACAGCAGCAGCAACAACAAGCAGAAGAGCAAGAACAAGAGATGGGCGTACGTGAAAAACTCGTGAAAATTCGCATAGGCGACGCGACTCGTTGGATAAAAGTTGACTCGTAAAAACCTATTTTTGTGCGATTTGATTTAATTTATGCGCGCGGCACAACAAAACATGTTTTTGCATTTCGTACAGTTTTACAGCAATAGAAACCAATTAAATTGGCCAATTTGTATATTTATCGAGATTCCAAAGATCGGATGACTTTCAGCTGGACTGCAAAGGGCGCGCAACACCTTCAACCAGACGCTTGGGACACGTGCAGCTCAACTGTTTAAATATAAAACGCATTAATTTTAATATTTATTTCAGTTGACTTCTCACATAAAACTGCGTTAAGTGTTAACATGCGCGCCGAGGCATAAAAAGCCGAATAGTATCCAAAAGAAAATCATAAAAGATGTCTACTGTTGAGTGCCTACACCCTGTAGCCATAAAAACAATGGGCAAACCAGGGTATTATCAGTTTGAAATTACTCAATATCCTACAAAATGATGGAGGGACTATTTACACTCATAAAAGGAACGTGCCGAAAGTTCCTTTTCTAATGTAGCCAAAGTTAATATCCCTTTTGATATTAGATCTTAAATAGATGAAAGATATATGGATTTTCATATCTGATTCTATCATTTATGTTTCTTTTTAGACACAGCTTTCAATGCTCAAGAATTGATCAACAATTTTTCAGATAATAATTGCTTAAACGCAGCGAAAACTTAAATTTTATTTCTAATTATCGCTAAAAAAAAATTTCTGAAAATATGAAAATATTTGAAAGTAAGGAAATCTGCGGTATACCGAAGATTTAATAACCTTGCAGATATTTGCCTTTTGCAGATATGTCAGAATAGTGAAGCTCCTAAATGCTGAGTTTGATGGAAATATCTTGGAAAACGAAATATTTTGCCAGACAAGAACCCATTTTACGACCGATTCTTCCTATAGAGCTATAGACTATAGTAGTGCGATCTTAATAAGACTTGGCTAATATAAAAGACGCATAGTCTAACTAGTAAATGCTGGGTTTGGTTAAGATATTTCTCTGAAAAATAGAGTTTTCCTTGGAAGAACCTACTTCTTGACCGATTGTTCCTACGACAGCTATATGATATAGTTGTCCGATCCAGGCAAACATTTGTTCTGTCTGAAAGACGAAAGCCAGACATGTCTATATCAACTCGTCTATTGATGCTGATCTAGAATATATCTACTTCATGAGGTATGAGATGTCTCCTTCTATGGGTTACACATTTCATGATAAAATATCCTCTAAAAGGGTATACGAAACTATAGTAAAGGTTCTATTCACAGCTGAAGTCTTTATTTTTTATAAGCTGTTTCGCTTTTTCCGTTCCGAATTACAAAGTGTCATCTCAAGGTCTTTAAAATATTAAATCTCCTTGTATAAACACAAAAGCTACGAATAAATACATGTGCATGGCAACACATAGCAGGGTATTTTGCCGCCGGCGAATTCATCAATTTTTTCTTTACTTTTTTATTTGCTTAACAAAATAAACAAACAAAAACCAAAAAAAAATGGCAGGCACGTGTCGCGCTCTGAACTCAAAATTTAATTACAGGTAAATGAACAAGCGAGCAATCAACCAATCAATCAATCAATCAGCTGGCAACACTTTATTTGATTTGCTTGGAAATTGTCTTAAGAGCACAATTCGGAAGAAAAAAAAACAGGCAAAAGGAGGAAATGTTAAGTCAATAAAGGTTAACAAAGATGCAAAATAAACCAGGTGCAAGAAGAACAATAAAAATAAGTAGAAGAATCAATCGAACAGGCAAGTTCAACTTTTGTTTAATCAACCTTCGTTTCTGTTTATTAGAGACAGATTTACGACTGCGTCACATCCTGTACAGGTTCACAGAGCTGCGCAAACAAAGCCGAGAGAAACAACTAGAACAACAAGAACTTGAACAACAACTTGAACAACAACTAAAGCAGCAACAAATTCATTCATTAATTGTCTAGCCATTGTTTTGGCCACAAAAACTATACAGCCCTGACCGCTGCTGACATTAGACCCAAAACATCGGCTGCCCGCCCAACCTTGAAAACTATTGGCAAAAACAAAATCAAATAAAAAAATCTATAAACTTTGGCTATATGGCATGGCCCCGCCCCTGCCAGACAACTGAACAATAATAGATAATTAAAAATTTGAGCAACAATTTTTAATGCATTTAATAATAAATATTTATCGTTAGTTTTTGCTCCTGTTCCCCGCTTCACACGCTTTTTTTTTTGTTTTTAAACAATGTGCCACATTTAACAACAAAACGGCTCGTTTTTGCGCACATTTTTATGATGGTTGGGCAAATGTTTAGAAAATTCGCTTTTACGACTAATATCGTGGGCAGCCAGATATATATATGTATATATGCTCAAATATATACGATATGTAGGCAAACAATTATTGACTATATTGTTGTAATTGTTATTAGCTTAAAAGACTCAACTTTCAGGTCAATTGTAGAGCTTACGATTTCAGCTGATATATATATATATATATTTATTGTAAAGGTCTATAAATCTTTTAGTCAGTCAGGGCAAACAGTTTTATATATAGAGATATATATAATTTTGATTAAGACTTCGAGTCATTTTAGCTCCGCGAGACTTTCGAAATTAGCTAAAAGTAGAGATTAAATATTTGAAATATATATATATATGTATATATCCTTTACCATAAGCAGAACTAGCTTAATTTTTTTTTCGTTATCTTCGCCATTTACAAAATATCGATAAATATCGATTTTATGTTATCGTTTTATAATCATAGCTCGATAATTATAATAACCTAGCTGCAGTTTGGTATATGAGTTCCAGTATAGTTTTTAAGAGAGAGCCATATTAGTCAACGCTTTGAATAGATTCGTTAGATTTTTCCTAACTGCCAACAGAAATCTATTACTAATAAATTTTAAAATTTTAATCAGTAGTGCCCATTATAGCCATATGATATACTCGGGTTAGAATAAAAACATTTAGTATATTAAATGTTATGTTAACTGACTTGGTCGTATTTGCCATCAAATATTATTGAAATATAATGAATTTTGAGATTATATCAAATATGCACAACACTTACCTTAACATGATTTTTATTGCAATTCCAATCGAGCAGTTTAAAGCATAGAAATTCTGTGCACCAACTTTGAAAAGGAACTGAAAAAGAGTTTGAATAGAAACGAAAATAAACTAAATAAATCTAAACAGATAACCGACTAAATATATAGTGAATATTATTTACTTTATGTTTTTAAAAATGCATAAAATAAAAAGGATTAATTAATTGAAAAACTTTTTAGCATATTTTGCATGTTGAAGTTTCTATATTTGTTTGCATTTAGTGTACATAGATCATATATATAAATATATTTATACATATATAGATATAGGTAGTATAGTATGGTAAGATTATATACAAGTTCGTAGAGTAGGCTAAAAAGTACACATAGATATAAATAAAGTCTAACATATACAGGTGTCGGCATAAACATAAATATATACTCGGTATAGGTTTTAGATATAGGGCTATGTACTCTATTCAAAATACATATATATCTAGATAAGACAACACTTAGATAATAATTGGTCATACATATAGTTTATATCCTTTCGTATAACTAAACATTACATTCTACATAATTGCATTAGTTGGTATCGTATATGACGTCTACATATAAAGTAAATAACGCGTACATCACACAATAAATAGTTTAAATATATATATATATATATAAAACTACATATACACATAGCTGGATATATATAT